TGGCCACACTCTGTGCTTGCAGCTATCCTAAGTGGACATTCCATGGTCCTGGCACACCTCCAATGTCACTGATTCCCTGTTGCAACTTAGACTTCTACTGCACACAGTGGCCATTCAAAGCCTTTTAGCAGGTGTCTCCTCTGACCCTGCCACACATTGCTACTTGGAATGATGGAGCAGAACTCCATGACCCCTCTGCCTCTCCATCTTGAATTTTTCATGCCTTCAAAACCAGTGACATGTGGACAACACTACCAAACTCTGCTGTCAGGTAGAGTTGTAGCCTGGTGTAGCCTGGCCTTCTTGGAACAATAGTTTCTATGTCCTGACCCTGGGGAAATACTTCTCTAGACATTGTCTTGAGGCGCAGGGAATCCCTTCAGCATACACAGGCACTCTTCCTTTGAATGGATGAATTTTGATCTTCACAGATGGAGCTTTTAATGGGTGGAGTTTTGCTGTCAGGACACATTTCCTACTTTTCTAGTACATTGCAGGGGATTTCTCTTCAGTGGTGTTGATTTCTTTAAGAATTATAGCTGCATGAGCAACAACATCCTGAATATTTTCCCATCTTAAAATTTTGTCTGCCAAACAAATCAGTCTGTTGTCTTTAGATTCAACTTCATTCAAGTTCGAAAAACACAGAACAAAGCCATATTCTTGGCTCAAATATCACAGGAATGACTCTAAAACAGTTTCTGATTAAGTCTTTGTTCTTCTCTTTCAAGCTTCTTCCAGAAAGGCCCGTGATACTCTTGCTTCTAGCAGAGTAAGACTTTTCTAGCCCAAAGTATCAAAATCTTCTGCATTCTAGCCACCAAATGGTGCCAAAGGCCTAAGAACCACAAGGCCAGGCTTAGCACAGCAACTTCAGCGACAGTTTTTCTGTGTTAGTTACCTTTTTGTTGCTGTGATAAAATACTCTGACACTGCAGCTTAAGCGCCCAAGGGTTTAATTTGCCTTACAGATCCAGAGGTATACCATCAACGCAGTAAGGATGTGGCCACATGCAGGAAGGACATGCCAGCTGGAGCCAGAGGCTGTCTGGTCACATTGCATCCACTTCAGAAAGCAGAGGGTGGACAGGGAGTTGGGCTATAAAGCCTCAAGTCCAACCCCCAGTGGTACACTTCCTCCCCTGAGGCACCACCGCCTTAAAGTTCCACAACCTTCATGAACTGCACCACCAGCTAGGGACCAAGTATTCAAACACATGAACCTATTTCACATTCAGACCACAGTAGTGAATGACAGCAGTGGGTACGGGGCATATTTTGTGAGTCAAAAATATATTCTAAAATTAGGTAGTAGTAATGTGTACAATTCTGTGAATATGTATACTTTACATGGGTGGATTTTGCAGGATGCAAATGCTATCTCAGAATGCTGCTGTTTAAAACGTCAGATTCTGCTGTTGGCTTTGGGTATTGGCATGGTTTTCTGTGCCAATTGGAGCTCATTACATAGCCCAATTCAAAGAGCAGGTGAAAGATTAAAGGAGAGACACAATGTGAAGTTCCTGGAAAAGTAATGGACACGATAAATACTCAATAATAAATGACGGTCATGTTGAACTTTCCTTAAACAAATGTCCTCTGTTTTGGCCATCCTGAAACGTAGGCTTACTGTTTGCTTTTAGTCAAAATGGACTGGAATAGGCTCTCACGACTGACCCTCCCTTGCATGAGCTTTATTGGGATTATACACTTAGGGCTCTGATATCAGTTATTTATTTTTTAACTAATATAACTGAGACCTTGTTCAAGATGTGCTTATGAAAAATTACCCTTTTAATGGTGGAGTATTTAATGAGAAACTGGATTTTCAACTGCATAAGTGCCCTTCATACAAATTAGATTGGCCCTGGGTCCTGATCTAAATTGAACTCCCTACTTTTCTCTAAATGGCCTAATATTTTCTTATTAATCTCTGCCCTTTCCACCTGCTCTGGCTCTGCCTCTTCATATGAGTCTCTCTCCTCAGCAGTAGGCTATGCCCTGACACATGTTTCTTAAGGCTCTTTGTGTCCGACTCAAGGGCAGGTTTGGGGCATGACTGCTTTTCTGGAAGCTGTTTATTCTATTTTCAAACTCTGTCCATCTCTCAATGGACTGTCCATGCTGCCAGTATATTTATATTTAGGAGCAATGAATTAGGGCCAGGTGATTTCTAGTATAAGGTAAAGTTAGATACTAAAAGGAAGTTGGATAAATGAAAAGCAGTTAGTGATAGTTGTTAAAAGAACAGGTTTGAAACATAGAACTCATGGAAACCCATACCAGGTGTTGGCATTGGACAAACCTGTGTAAGCCCTGCTAAGTGAGTTTGGGCAAGTTTGATGGCCTGTCTGACCTAGAGGTGTTTCAGTTTCATTGTTGGTCTGTAAAACCTGAGTAATGGTACCTACCTCTAGGTCTTTTCCCAGGGAGTGTGGGATGTGCTCTGTGGTGAATGCTACCTGCTATTAATGTTATACTTCCAGTCTGAAGGACTCCTGGTAGTGAAAGGAGTGTTACTAGTGACTGAAACAATTTCCTGTGTAAGAAGAGGCAGAGGTGGTAGTATTGGAAATAGAATAATCGTCTTCCTAAAAACATCTTAGACCAAACTCTAGGTTGCCCTTACCAAACTTAGCATAGCAAGACAGGGAGAGACCTATGTTATCATAGGCCAGGTTGTTTAGATACATATCCATAGGAGGTGTATGGTGACAGATATTCATCTCTAGTCTCTAACGTCTCTCCTCAAGGAACTCTGAAATTTAATTTTTACATTCCTTATAGTCTCTGATTGTTCCTCCGTACATTGTTCGGTTTAAGGAATATTTACCCAAAGCTATGGATATCCTAGGAGTCGGCGTACAATGGTAAAATTCAGACTAGTCCCTGCAGACAGCCCTTCTCTGTGCCTCCTTTCTCCTCCTCATGGTATCTTGCAGGTGTTTCTTTTATAGGTCTGATCATGGTCAGATAGCTACTATTTACAGAAAGATTACTCTGAGTTGAATGCATACTTCACACATACTGTCCCCTTAAAGTTACTGTTCATACGCTGTGAGGTGGCTACTTTATCTCCCGACCCACAGACAACGAACCAAGACTAAGCCAAGTTTAGTTGACCCATGCTGGCAATTTTTTTGCACACCTAGAATAATATACTGTACATTTTTACTTATATAGTCACAAAAACTTGAGTTTCTAGGGACACAGATTGTCTTCTTCATTTTCATACTGAGTGGCACAGAAAAACTGCTCAGTAACTGATGAATGGGTAAAGGAATGAAATTAAGGTCAGGGTTCATCAGTGGAAAAGCTCTGTGCTGTGCTTCGCTACTGTGTTTTTCTGTTGTAAGCATGTCCTCAGAAAACTAATTGCCAACTCCATATTTTAGAAAGGGTTGGTTTGAATGTCATGTAGATGAAGGGAAGCAGGCTGACTTATTTCTGATGTCCTCAGCTCTAATAATGAGAGAAGGCACAAGAGAGAGAGGATCAGGAGTTAGAGTCAGTGGTGTTCTGAGAGATACAGATCAGAGTCCTGGGGACCCCAGGTTTAAAGAACTGTAGTGCAATACCCGA